CTGACAGGAGGCTGTAGTGAGGTGGGTGTTGGTCTCTTCTCCCAGGTAATGGGCAATAGGACAAGAGGAAATGGCCTTAAGTTGCAACAGGGGAGGTTTAGATTGGACATTAGGAAAAATTCCTTCCCCGCAAGGGTTGTCAAGCACTGGGAGGGGCTGCCCAGGGAAAGGGTTGAGTCCCCATCCCTGGAGGTATATAAAGCTGGGTAGACGAGATGCTTAGGGACATGGTTTAGTGGTGGAATGGCAGTGTTATGTTAATGGTTGGACTTGATGATCTTAAAGGTCTTTTCCAACCTAAACAGTTCTATGATTCTATGAAAGAAAACCAAAAGCACATGCAGATGCTTGTCCTTCTGAACTCTCCAGTATACCAAGTATTCAAGTCCAGACCCCAGCCTAGAATATGGCTGAGGCATGGCAAAAAAAAATTCATGCCAAGACAACCGTGCAGCTGAAGATGGCAATTAACCTCCATGTTAATGCTATACTGTTTGGTTTTTTTTAAATTACAGTTATTTTCTTTAAGTCAGTCATGTTATGGAATGAATGGGTAATTAGAGGGTGCTTGGTTTACTGATGTCAGATGTGCTGACTTTATCAGTGGGTAAGGAACAACCCTGATTCAGCATCATATCACCAAGTCATATGTCCAAAACCTGGACTGTGGAAGATTACCTGCTTTTATTGGCTTGCTTTCTCATCTTGTTCACATTTGCCCTTTCGTTTCTTACCCAAAACTGTCAGTTTTGGAAGCTGCCTTGTATCAACCAGTTTCTAATTCTACTCAAAATTTCCCTGTAAATGCTCTAAGATACATCCCGAGGCCTTTCTTCAGTTTTTCAGCACTATCTTTTCAATAGAGTAACTGGCCAATTAACCACAGATGACTTTGAGCTACAAAGTGAGAAACTAAAAAACAGATTCCAAACATAGTCCAGATCCCATTGCACAATCACAGAACACACCACATTCTCCCAAGGCTGATAATCCTAAAATGTGAGATATTTCAGTGAAAAAATGAGATCATGATGCTGTAGTTCATAGTGAAAGCAGGAAGGGGTGCAGGTTTCAGAAATACCCATAGCTTGAGGAGTCTCTGACAGCAGGTGCCCAGACTTGACATCTAATGGCCTTCTCGATTTTTGAGCAAAGGGGGAATAAATAAGTAAGTAAAAACCACTTAAACTAGGTTCAGAGAGGAAGGAACCAAACCGGAATTAAATCAACAAATAGAAGCTGGACCTGGAAACCTGTATATTCTCTCTGGCTCCCTTCTTTCAGTTTCAATCTCCTTTTTCTGCAAACTGAGACTATGTCATTTTGAAAATGTTTTCCTGTTGCCACACCGATTTCCTCTGCAGTGTAAGCGATTGAAACTAATTTTCAAAGATGAGATTTTCTACTGTTGCTTTTAAAGGACAGTGGTCCTACTACCTTCTCCATTTAACTCCTTCCACATTTTAGCTTTGTTAAGCATACACTCTCAGAAGGTACCTATCCCTGGACTCTAACATCACCCATTTTTCATTATGGTGTAATGACTTATTTTTTACCAAAAGAAACAAGAAAACTAAAAATGTTTACAATTGATCTACAATCCTCTAATTGTGATGAATATTTGAAACTGGACAAACTGCTCCATCTTCATATTCATGGAATTACAGCTTCCAAATAATGCAAGAAAAACATTGAAAATTATTAGCATTGCACTTGGCTAGTGTAAGAAAAGCTGCTGTATTGGGTTTGCGTGGACCAGTAGGACCAACTCCAGAACCCCATGCTGGAGCAGGGGTAGAGTGTAAGGGGCACATTTGTCTTCCCAAGTCACTGTTATGTGTTATGGAACCCTGCTTTCCTGGAGATGGCCGAGCACCCGCCTGCCAATGGGAAGTAGGGAATGAATTCCTTGTTCTGATTCATTTGTGTGCACAGCTTTTGCTTTCCCTATTAAACTGTCTTTTACTCTTCTGATTCTCTCCCCAGTCCCACTGTGGGGGGAGGGGGGGGGAGTGAGTGAGCTGCTGGGTGGGGCTTAGCTGCCTGTTGAGGTTAAACCACGACAACTATTACGTTTTGAAAGTTCACATCAAAATCAAGGACTGAAGAGCATTTTTTAATACTGCATCTCCCGCTGATGCTTCGATACCTATCATTACTCTGGTAGGCTGCTGCAAACACTCAGCAGGCCAGGAAGCTTTCTGAAGCACTTGTGATGCACAAGAGGCCTGAACAGAAACAAACTCTCCCAGTGATCCCTCAGCTGTGCTCTCAATCCTTAGTCCTGGTAAGCAGACATTTTTGACCCAACAGTGACCTGCAGCATTCAGAGACTGCATTTTCTGCTATCACAATTTTACAGAAAAGCTGACTTTTATGGCTGTTTTTGCTCTTTCCTTATTGAGTGTTACAGATCTCATTTTGTTCGCTGTAGTCTTCTTGCTCAGGGTGAGGTGTAGAAAGGCAAATGTTGATTTAGATTATGAATAACAGTTGTCTCTGCTTTATACTCCTTGATCAGGAGAAGAATAGAGAGGAAAGGAAGCAATGGTCAAACTCTGGGGTTTGAGCAGGAAGCTCAAGCTGAGCAGTGGGGTTAAACAGAGACAATCAGCTGTGGCCCTCAGGTTAACGCCCTGCTGCAGGAGCCTAATTGCAAGGAATTGTTGCTGTCAGTAAAGACGTGACACGGAATGGAAGATGCCCGTACTTGTCTGAGGCCCCATGCCCATGGCTCCTGACCCTATGGAAAGCAGGAGGCAGAGTTTATTACCAGTGCAGGTGTCCACTGATTAAATTCTGT